TTTTGTTTTAGTAAAGACAAACAGAGCGTAAAAATATCGACATGGAAGCCTCGTTTTAAACGAGCCTCACTTGCCACCAGTAATTGCAATTGAAGAGTCGTGAAGTAATTCTACGAGGTTCGTGTCCCCGATTTATGACATTAATGGCGGTCAATAATTGTACCGCCATTTCCCCACTTCCCTCTTCATCTGCAATGGAGTTTGTAGGTGCGCCAATTTCTTCCTCTGCTCCCAAAGCTTATTCTTCACTTCGCACCCAAATAATTACCAATGGATCAACCCAAATCTCGCTCAAAACCCCTCTTAAACTCTCCCTTTTTGCAAATTCCCCTAGAAAACAGCTCAAGATTTACAGTGGAAAGATTAGTGGAGTTCAACTTCAGCATTTGCGGCTGTCTACGATTCGGGCATTAGGCGATCATGATTATGCACCTGATGAACCTCCACCTTCTAATTCAAACGGGAATAAGAAGCTATTTGTTATTGCTTGTTCTACAGTTACTGTAGCACTAGCCATTGCGAATCGCGTGCTTTATAAACTTGCCCTAGTTCCCTTGAAGGAGTACCCGTTCTTTCTAGCTCAACTCACCACTTTTGGGTATGTTCTGTGAAGACCTTTGATTATGTTGAATTATTAGATTTTACATACTTGCGTTCACTTAGAAATTAACTGCACGGATGTGTTTAAATGATAAATAGTTAAAATAAATGAGCAGAATCCAATTAAGTATATATAATAAATTCAAAGTCACGAATAGGTCAGACTCAGAATGGCAAGAATTCGAGATAATCTGTGTGGTGTCCCAGGTTCCCTGCAGGTCTAAATGCCAGCCTTCCACCCGCTCGTCATAGGTACCTATATAGGACTTTGACTAGGATATCACGACAATGTCTGCATGTTGATACTACCATAAGCGCACAGTTGGTAGTATGGGCCACAGATAGAGGTGTAGGGTAGTACAGTCAGCCTGTGACTTATTCCCCCACCCAAATCCACTAAAAGCAATGAACTTCCCATAACAGTTGCTTTCCAAATCCAATGAATAAGGCCTGTATTCTTTTGTGGATCACTACTAGAACTAAACCATGTTCTCTTTTTCTTCATCTAATCAAGTATGCACACTGTCTTAGTAGCTAGTCTTGCAAGATTTCTTTTAAGGCATAGGGACTACCAATAAGGATTATTAATGGAATCTAACAAATGGTGTTTGTTTTATGATACCCAGGTACGTAGCCATATATTTTTCTGTGCTCTATACGAGATACAATTCTGGCATCGCAACTGATGAGATGCTGGCCCTCCCCAAATCACCATTTATAATCATTGGGTTTTTAGAAGCTCTTGGAGTTGTTTCTGGGATGTATTCAGGAGGTATTGTCTATTATACTTTTGGGCATTCGAACTTGACCAATATAATTAAAATGGGATTGTAAAGCTAAATCAGAAATCATGTCCATCTGTAGGATATAAGGTGTTGTTCGGTATGTTTCGATGTTTAGATATTGTACTATTTACTCATCTTTTTTATCTCTACTTTCGTAAGCAAGGCAAAAACTATCCTTCGTCAGTGGGACGAGATGTAATTTGTTGTTTACTATGTTTTTTAGTTTACACTAAACCCTTTTACTCCTTGTTATTCTCTCCCTTTCTGGTGTTATGGTATTCTTCAAATCAAATAGATGGCACAGCAGGTGTGCTGCTACATTTGGAATAGAATGAAGTGAAAGTATAGTCAATTATGTAAAAAAGAAGAATTTGACTGTTTTTCTTTTTCCCAATGGCCTCAGCACTGACTGCTGTGTGTCTTCTACAGCTATGCTTCCTGGACCAGCTATACCGATATTAGGTCAGGTAATGCTTATTTTGCAAAACGTTTAAAACTTTAAAAGTTTGATAACCTGGCAGCAATGTAGGAAAAGATGCAATCTCATTCATTGAATAAGTTTTTATTTTTACTATTGATTTTTTTTTTTTTTTTATTCTACTGCGCTTATAGATTGAATTGGACGTAAGCATTTCAGTGGTGCAAATATATAGCATACTTGTGAAGCAAAGCTGTTAACTTGGAGTTTTCTCTTTTTGAGTTGCCTTGAGATAAATCTTTCTGCCACACAATTCTGCATTAAGTCTCTATCCTTTTCATTAGGGGTGTTTGTTGAGCATTGAATTCAATGAAATTGTTTTCTGACCTCAAATGAAAGGCCATAATTAACATGCCAACTAAATAGTACCCGTTGACAATTCATTAAGGTCCATCCAAGTCAAAGAGAGATTTCACAACTGGCACAGATTCATTTATCAGTTAATGAGTTCAGGAAAGTTTTTATATTAGCAATCAGAAGGATAAATATTTCTCATATTTCTAATAGTGTTCAAATTGAATGTCCTGTTTAGATTATTATAGGAAACTTCAAAATTATTTTGATAGGAAAATGGGCTTTAATCTGGCATACTTCCATTAACTCTCTATCTGTGTGCTGTATATAATCCGCTACAGTTGACAGGTTATACCTTTTTAGAGTGATATTCTCCTGTCGGGTATCTGTACCTTTTGTAGCACACTGTTTTCTTCTATTTCGAATTTTGATTAGAAATAGAAGAAATAGTGAATTATTTACAGTCTGGTCCCTGTAGTTTATCTTAACTACTCCTAAAGGTACTTATTGATTGACCTATCTGTACCTTTTGTAGCACACTGTTTTCTTCTATTTCGAATTTTGATTAGAAATAGAAGAAATAGTGAATTATTTACAGTCTGGTCCCTGTAGTTTATCTTAACTACAGGATTTCCATGAATAACTAACTGGAAATTCATTGCTTCTGTAAAGACACATTTGAAGAAGAATGTGAGGCTTGTCTCGTGGATTTCCTTGAGAACTTTATCTGATACTTAAATTAGTGTTTTTAGAATCAAACTTTTGCCTAGTTATGGTTTATGAAACAAAGCAAATAATGAATCATAGTTTCCTCAAGGTTACTTTCTTTGGATTGTTACTGCAGACATTTTTGGTATGGCAGCTGGTTTTTTCTATTCTCCTCTTGGGGAGGAGCTACTCTATGAACCGACTCGCTGGATGCTTTCTAGTAGCTGCTGGTGTGGTATTGGCAGTTGCAAGGTCCTGCTTCTCTTCAAAAGATAAAAAATTGATGCCTTCCATAAAATTATAATAAATTGACTCTATTCAGCATGCTGCAAAATTATCACTAATGGCTTATCTAATGTGAGTGAGATGCTACAGGCCCTTTATGTGTATTCTACCACTTCTTAATTTGTTTTAAGAGAAGTACGGACTCAATGAATTATGCAATTTTAAGTTAAGTTCATCAACCCCAAAATAAAATAAAATAAATAAATANGGCGATAACCAAAATGAATTACTGAATAACTTAGTAAAATGGATATGATTGCTATGGATGGTCCGATACTGAATAAATGAGTACCCCTCTAGATGGAAAAAGATTCTTTTTGAAAAGTAGTTTTGTGCCATATGCAAAAGCTTGAAGAATTCCCTAGGGTCGGTGTATTCAGGTCCAATACGTTGTTGTATCCCTGCAGATATTTCTCTTTCTAACCAAACAATTACTAGTAATCTTCTTTTAATCTATAATTACATTTCCATTTTTCTTATGGATAACTAGAATGAAAGCTTTGTCAATGGAGTGTAATTTCCCCAAGAAAATGGGTACCCAATGATTGCTCCTTGTTTGATGCTTACACATTTTGGTATCTGAACACTAAAATTTTTTGTTTGTTGACTGCAGTGGGTCAGACAGTGATCAAATGCTATCTGGAGTTGGGATTTTCTGGCCTGCAATGATGATAGCTTCAAGTGCCTTTCAAGCAGTTGCATCTATTGTCAAGGTACACCAATTGTTGACAGTGCTAAAGTATTCCTTACAGCAAAATAATATTTGAATTCTGTGAACGTGTAGGAATCTGTTTTCCTTGATGCTACAACCCGCCTGAAGGTGAGTTGTTATATGTTGTCTCTCATTATTTCTTCGAGCTTGCTCATTCACTTCATTTGTTCCATCACATTCTTGTAAATTTTGCAATTCTTGCAGGGAAAATTGCTAGACATCTTTGTTGTCAATTCCTATGGATCTGGGTTTCAGGTAATGATCATTTACCTCATGCATAAACACACATTGTTATGTTTAATTTTTTGGCCTAGCCTTCATTTTGGTAGATCTCAAATGCTTAAATATTTTTAAGTAATCCTTTTCATATTTTTTTCCTTATTCTTTTGAATTTTTCGGGTGATATATGAAATATCTGTTTGTGATCTTTTGCAATGATGGTTTTGGCCAGACTGAATACACGATCTGCTTTAAATGAATTCTTTGTTAGAATAAATGTCATGATAGTTCATCATAGTTGATGCAGCTTGTAGCAAGAAAAACATGGAGAGATCCAAAAACTAGTTGATTATGCGGATACCCGATAATTGAGTGATAAAGAATCATTGCTTTTCTAAGAATACCGAATACTTGACAATGTTAAGTAAGCTCTCACTTTTTTATTCAATATCAACCAAATAACAGTTAAGGAAGTCGCTATTTTCATCCACCATTCTTATATATTAATCCACTTTTAAAAAAATTCTATATTACATTCTTAACATTATGTAAATTTAATTAAATAGACAAGAATAGAACCAAATAAAATCTATCAATCTAAATTCATCCACTAATATTTATCCTCATTTAATGCTTTTGAATCTTTTATATTCTTTTAGACATTATGTTAACTAAAACCCTAATATTTATAAAACATCTTCTTCAACTAAAGTCAAAACAAACAATGGAAGAGACACCATTAGAATAAGTACATACAGACATAGTAATATATGAAGAAGATTTTGAAAAAGTTAGGATAATCTTTTATTTTTGAATTTATGTCAATGGCTCTATTTGACACTATGCTTTGAATGTTAGATACATCGACACACAACTTTGAAACCATAGTAAAATTGTGATCAGTGCATAATATTTTCTATTC